GAAGCCCTTCCTGCATGGAGAACCATGGCAGTGGCTGTGTGGATGAATAACTCGTGTGTCATCATCTCCCTTTCCTCTCTGGCTTGCTGTTTAAACTTCAAAATTTATGGAACTGATACCCATCCAGCATCAGGGAAATGGGTCAATGCCAAAAGCTTGGCCTCTTTTGTCGATCACAGCTGGTTTTGTTTTTCCTATTTAGGCAAAACCATGCTGATAATGCTTAAACAGGTAATCAAAACTGAGTGCTGAAACGTTCACAGAAGTGACTGAGAGGATCAAAACAAAAAATAGACAAGAAAGGATACCTCTTTGGGCTTTTTTTTTTTTTTTTTTTTTTTTTTTTTTTTTTTTTTAAAAATCACTTGAGTCAAAGCGCACCTTACCTGCTGTCTGTCACTGTCTGATGGGGCTGTTGTGTAGGGGCAGTACTGATCCATGCGCGTGGTCCTGCGGGTGAAGCTCAGCAGTGCCGATGTTGCTTTCCAGCAGGAGAGGCTGTGGGCAGAGCTGTTCAGTGCATCTGCCCCAGCCCCGAGGACAAGACAAGCAGCTGCTGAATGGCCATACCTCACAGGAATGGGAAGTAGTCCAGAAACAGCAGGGAAAATCTTCACCTGTGGAGAATGCTCTGGGATCTTTAATTCTCATATGGATGGGAAGGGAGCGTGGCGGCTGTATTCTTTGCTAGCCCATTTTACCTAAAATATTGCAAGATTGAAAGAAGTCTGATAGGATTTGAAACTGATGACCCGAAACTTGGAAAATTAGATATTTTTTTTTTTAGCCCCTTAGGCTCTCCTCTGCCGTATGACGTGCCTTAACTGTATTTGATTGAAGCTTGCTTTTGCGTGGCAGCAAGCACAGATACTTTTTCTTTGCTTCAGCATAAGAGAAGGAAGCTTTTTAAACTCATTAAACTCTGTATTGGAAGAATTTGTTAAAATGAACCTTGTTAGAGATATTTTAGAGATCTTAAACCTATTTAAACCTATTCATGACAGCGGCCAGTACATTGGAAAAAGAATTAAATTAAAAAATTAAATTTCCTCAATGGCACCGAGTAATGCTGTATTTCAGCAAAGGGAACGATGCCACCTTGTGGAAAGCTGAAGTAGTTGTCTTCTCCCAGAGTGTCAACTTCTGCAAAGATTGTAGCACTGAAAAAATGTCAGTTTTGGGAAAAGTGTGTCAAATAATTCATGTAATTCTTGTAAGAAAAGTGATTTATGCAGCAACACAGTTAAGCATTCAAAATCGTCAATAAACAACAAATGTTTCTCTATATATCAGGTGCTTAAGATGCAGTTTGGAGCTTCATATCCTTGGCATCTTGGTGCAGGTTGTCTGCACAAGGCCATAAAAGAGAAGGGGAATGGGGGAGAATAATTACATCCAGCTTCTTGATTTCAGTAATTTATTTTGGTAGGAATTTCTTGAAGAGATGGCTCATTGCGCTTGACAAGGATCCCAGTTCTGCATGTGAAACATGCGCAGGTGGAAATGAGTTTTGAATTGGCAATTCCCAGGAGACAGATCATAACCTTCCTGGTTAATTTATAGAGCAACCTGTGCCTTCCTAATTGAGTTTCAAGGGAGGTAAAAAGATGCTTTTACCAATCCTGGACTGTAAATTTGTCTTTTTACATTGCTGTAAAATATGAAGACCGTGTGTAAAAGTATAGAAAGATGCTAATTTTTTTCCTTGTGGTCATGCATAGAAACCGAACCTTCTGGGAAACCTGTCTCTGTCCCTAGGAATTGGATGAAAAATGGAAAGCTCACATGACCCAATTTCTCCACATTTTTTTCAGAATTGGCCTATTTGGCCTGACATTTGGGCTCACTTTATTCTCTCCTTTAAAATGAGGTTTTCTGCTAAGGCTTAATTTAGTCTTTCAGTGGCAAGCATGGATTTTTGAATTCCCTGTCCACATTAGCCTGTTCAGCAGAGCTTCACTTTCCAGCCTTGCTGTTTTAGGGTAGTTTCTGGTATATATCAGTGTCTAAGAATGGGAAGAATCTATTTATACCTGCAGAAGTACTAAGCAGTTGCTCCAAAAGTCTGTTTTCTACTTCAGAAAACAGTAAATTCTCAGGATCTCAAAAGAAAGGAAGAGAAAAAGGCTATTTCCAACAGGGGTAGACGTAGGAGATGCTGATACTGGGTATTTAAATTTGATTACTTAACTGTAGGTGAATGAAAACCTGGTTGAAGACATGGAAAGTGAGTTGTTGATGAACTTCTATGGATTACCTGGGCATTAGGGGTTAACCAATTGGGCTTTCTGGAGTGATGTGAGGCATGGTTCTGACAAGCTGACTTGTCGGTCCACTTCTGGCTGTCATGAAAGTGGCCTGTAAATAGCACTATCGAAATAATTTTACAAAATACTGTATGCCCCTAAAAGAGTCATTATCTGTCTCTCTGCTGCTTTTTATGCTATGAAGATGTGTATGTGTGTTTTGGGGACATCCTACATTTGCTTGTTCCTAGTCTTCTCCAGAAGCAAATGTCCTGATGAGACACAGTAAATAATCAGGATATCTGTGTGGAGATGGAGATGAGTCTGGTTTCTGATGCAAGTGAAGACTTAACCAGAGAGGAGGAGGTTTTGCCATGTCTAGTAATTCCAAGAAAGGATCATCTTTTCACACTGAAGTCCGTAATTCTCTTTTACAGTCAAGAATACCCTCACAGGGAGTGTTCAGCATTTTCCAGCGGTTTCACAGTCCACCTCATTTTGCATGTTATCTTCTCATGAGCACATGAAACACTACAAAAAGCCTCAGTTCAATTCATTTCAATTAATGGACTCAAATCAATTAATTAAATCTGAGGAGTTTATTCCGTCTTAAATCTCCTTACAAAAAAAGATGAAATCTAAAAGAAAAATGTGGCATCTTCAACAGTTTTTCTTCCAAAATGGTATTTCTGCTTGGTTTTGGAAAAGGAATTTGTTTCTTTCAGAGGCAATCCTTGGTTTTCATTCCCTAGGAAATAGGACCTGTTACAGGGTAGAGGAGTAGAAGAAATCTTGAACCCATTACTTTACCCTTATAGGGAACCACAATATATAATACCATGTATTAATTCCAAGTTTCTTCTTAAACGTTTTTGGTTGGGTTATTTTTGCTGTGACTAGCCTTGCTGACAAACTGATTCAAGCATTACCTTCCTTTGATGGTCAAATCCTTTTAACCTAAACTCTTTGAGGCCATTTTTTATCCTTTTATTCTGTATTAAGCCATCTTCTAGTGCATTTATAGCAGGCAATTATGTCTCTTCTTCAGCTTAGTTTTATTAAAGTAAACAAGCCAAGTGTTTTAATTATGCATAATGAGGCTAGGAGGGTTGCCATCTTCTTATGAGTCCCTGTTTCCCTGACTGTTGTAGCAAGTCTGTGTTTTCATCTTTAATTTCTGACTATGGGTCATCAGATTTGTTAATTTGGGTGGAGTTTTTCCTGAGTCTTGTAGGGTAGCTTTAAAATGTCCATATTCTCTAATGGACAGTTCTTGACACATAATTTCATTTATTTTTTCAACTCCTAAGTAGGTGATAATTTTAGTTGAAACTTAAGCCATAATTATAACCAGTGTTTATAAGTTTGTAAGAGTGAGCAGAAGAAAAGTTGTGGTTTTCATCTCAACTATTTGAATAGCATCTTGGTCAGAAGGGGGGAATTCTTTTGTTTTGGTTCGTTTTTTCAAAGAATCTTCTTGCCAGTAGCTGAAAGTTTCTTGTGAACAGCAGAATTTTGCATTTTGGGGATTAGCCTAAACAGTACGTATATAGTTGGCTTAACACTAAGCTACTGCTAGTAG